CTCTTCAGTCAAAATCCCTAACTGACGACTCATTTCTTCAATTCGATTCTTCTTCCACTCTCATTCTCACTTCGTTCTCTGATTACAGTTAGCAGCCTCGCTTTAGCTGTCATTACTTTTTAGTAGCTCTTTAGTATTTCTACGTAGCAGTAGGGTATAATTGCAGGACACACTATACAGTCTAGGATTCAAACACTTTTCCAAACACAATCCTACAATACTCGCCGCCGGCGACCGCCACCTCCCGCCGGCGACCGCTCCTTTCTCCGACGAGGTACGTCGGCAAATTACCCGACAACGACGGACGAACGTCCGGCCGAGACGTCGCCGGCGACGGACGAACGTCCTGCCGGGACGTCGTCGATTTTTTATTTTATTTTTTATTTTTTGTTAATTTAAATTTGTGAAGTATATTAGATTTTTTAAAATATATTAATTTAGATTTTCGTTTATTATTTTAGATTTTTTAATTATCATATTGTTTAGAAAAATTTGTTCTAATATTATTTTTAAAATGAAGTTATTGAATTTTAATTTTTCATATTTCGAAACTAAGTTAATGTTTCCTGAATTTAGACTTTTAATTGCCATATTTTAAGAATATGTAGTGTTTTTATTATTGTAATTTATTATTTTATGAATTATTGTAATTACCATATTTTTAGTAGGATTTTTTATAATATTATTTGTAGAATGAAGTTCTTTAACTTCATTTTTTATTATTTTGAAACTAAGTTAATGTTTCCTAACAATAATTTAGACTTTGAAGAATATTTAGCGATTTTATTGTAGTTTATTATTTTATGATATTGTAATTATCATATTTTTTAGGATGGATTTGCTATAATATTATTTTTAGAATGAATTTCTTGAATTTCATTTTTTTATATTTTGAAACTATGTTAGTATTACTGAAAATATTTTTCTTGTATGTATTTCTTGAAGTTGGTCAAGTTCGGACTTCCGGATATCACTACATCAGGTAATGAGTAACACGGTTAGTGAGTTAAACTTTTTAATTTTGGAATCATGTTGAATTATTTATTGTTATGATGAAGTCTAGTAATTGATAATATGCTTAAATATTTGCTTTACAATGATACATATTGTTTGAAAAATGTTGAATTATTGATTTTACTATCTTGTTGATAATTTAATTAGTATGTGTCTACTTGTTGCATGTTGAAATATTAGGATTTGGTAGTTAATCATGTTAAATGTGCTAATTTTTTATTGAAAATGTATTGGATTAGTTAATGTTCAAATATTGAATAATCGTTAACAACGTTGTGTTGTTGATAATTTAATGAGTACGTGTCTACTTGTTAAAAACTTTTTATTGCATATTGAAATATTAGGATTTGGTAGTTAATCATGCTAAATGTGCTAATTTTTTGTTGAAAATGTATTGGATTAGTTTATGTTCGAATATTGAATAATTGTTAATAACATGTTTAATATTTTTTAATAAGAAGATAAATATAAAATCTAATATTGCAAACAAGTCATCAAATTTTCTAAAACTTACATAAGACTCAATCCATTTTCAAATTGTAAGAATTCAATTTACAACAAACATTACAAGTCATGAAAAGTGTTGAAACTTATGTAAGACTCAATCTATATCAAATTGGAATAATTTAATCTACAACAAACATTTCAAAATTAGTATCACTAATAAGATAAATGTGTTTATTTTAGGGAGATCCGAAAGATAAGGGAGACAAAGTTGATTATACTCAATTTTTCATAACAAATACAAGATATAAGTCATGGAATGAAGCTATGGAAGCTGCGAAAGTGATTGCAAAAGATCTTGGGTTCTTTTTGACACATTCATCAACCAAATCAAATGATGGCGAGAAGTACCCCCGAATATATCTTCACTGCCATCGTGGATATAAGAACAATACATATGTCCCAGATCCGGATAAGAAAGGACGATCCAACACAAAGTCACTTAAAGATGGTTGTCGTTTTCGAGTGAGACTGGTGGGACTCCCGGAGGATAAGACTTGGATGATTGATGGTGTGAAGGACAATCACAATCCGGGACAATTTTGTGGGTTTCACAACCATGCATTAGAGCTTTATCCCGAAGGCCACACTCAGAGGAATGCTTTTACTAATGAAGAGCTAAAGGATATGAAGGAGATGGAATGGGCTCGTGTTGCTCCTCGAAAAATGATGCAAACTATCAACCAAAAGTATGGTACTCACCATAACAAACGACAATTTTACAACATGACAGCAAATATAAGGATTGAGAGATTGAGTGGCATGACCCCTTCGGATTGGACGTTACACCATGCGAGAGAGATGGGGTACTACATTGGCTACAAGCGTGATGATGATCGCCACCTTACTCACCTTTTTCTTGCTCACCCTGAGTCCGTTCGGATGTTGAGTGCTTGGTACCATGTAATCTTGATTGATTCCACATACAAGACGAACAAATATAAGAGGCCCCTGGTTGAGGTTATTGGTGTTACCCCCGTCAAGAGGAACTTCAACATTGGATTTGCTATGACGGAGGGGGAAACCACAGATTCTTATGTTTGGCTTTTGAGAGAGTTACAGAACATGCTTGGAGATCACATACCGAATGCAATTCTAACTGACAAGGAGGGAGGATTGGTTGCCGCTATCCCTCAGGTCTTCACGAAATCGGCCCACTTGTTGTGTATATGGCACATAAAGCGGAACATTGAAGCTAAGATGATGGATTTGGGGATACCACAAGAAGTTGCTCGAGGAGTGGTACATGGTTCTTGGAAGAAGGTGATGGAAGCCACCACGCCACATGCCATGATTGAGGAATGGGAAAATTTCAAAAATGGATTTTGGGGGAGGAATAGTAAGTTGATAGAATACTTGGATCGTGAGTGCTTGGAGCATAAAGAGAAGTGGGCTTGTGCTTACACTAACAATATTTTTCATATTGGTAACACAAGTACGAATAGGGTTGAATCGGCTCACTCGACTCTTAAAGCTTGGTTAAACACTTCGACTGGGGGAGTTGATACATTATTTTTATCATGGCATGCTAGCATTGGGGGGCAAGTGATCGAAATTAGGAAAGAGCTAGAGACATGTCGAACAAAAACATTCAAAGGAGCCTATGGACCACCCTACGGCGTTATAAGGGGAAGTGTAAGCCTATATGCGCTTGAGTTGATGTTTGTAGAGGGAAAGAAGACTCCTTCGGAATGTGATTGTGTGATTGGGAGGACACATGGGCTCCCATGCAGTTGTCGAATCAACTCCTTTAAAGGAGCGGGAGACCATTTTCAGATAACACACTTGGCACCATTCAGGTCTACTTTGGACTATGCTAACCCTCATGATGCAAGACGGTTCGAAGACAATGACGCCAATGATCTTCAGATTTTTCATGATCTAGTGGCTGAGGTGTGTAGACGTGGTCCATCTGCAGTTCGAGCAGCCAAGGTCGCATTAATGAGTCAGCTTTACCCCGAAGAGGAAGGCCTTAGGGAGCCACGAGTGTCTACGAAGGCAAAAGGTCGGCCACCTAAAAGGGAAAACGCTCGTGATCCTTCTTGGCATGAGCACGCTGCCGCACGTCAAGGTAGAAGGAGCACAAGGAGGAAGACATCAACCTCAGATGTTACAGGTTTGTATTGAATAATTTGAGTTGTTTTGTTAAATTCATTGATATTCAATAAGTATGTTTAATATGCCAATAAGCTAATTACAACAAAATTTTCACTAACAGGTGCCCCGAAGGATGCTACCATCCACAAAAAGAGAAAAGCAACAACCTCAGATGATACATGTTTGTATTGAATAATTTGAGTTGTTTTGTTAAATTCATTGATATTCAATAATATGTTTAATATGCCAATAAGTTAATTACAACAAAATTTTCACTAACAGGTGCCCCGAAGGATGCTACCATCCATAAAAAGAGAAAAGCAACAACCTCAGATGTTACAGGTTTGTATTGAATAATTTGAGTTGTTTTGTTAAATTCATTGATATTCAATATGTATGTTTAATATGCCAATAAGATAACTAAAAAAAACTACATCCACAGGTGGCCCGAAAAGGGATCCCATGACCAAGATTGATGGAGTGAATGTTTTTCCTTACTTTCGCTTCGTCCCAGAAAGTGTCAGAGATCGATGTCTTGGTTGGTGGGACCCTGCTCCTGATGGACATTGCGGATTTCGAGCTCTTTCACATGCACTTCATGGAGATGAGGATCACCACTTGTGGGTGAGAAAGGCTATTATAGATGAAGTCATGTCGATCCAACATTGTGAGTACGCATATGAAGATGTGGGTCTTGCTCTTACACGATTACAGTGGAACAAGCCAGAGGGTACTACAATGGATCATTGGATGACTGAGTCGGATCTCGCCGTAGTTGCAACATTATTTAACTGGGCCATAATCCTCTACAGTCAAATAGACGAAACCAAAGATGGGGTGAGGAGACGTGTTCCATGTGGACAAACCTTTTTACCTTTGATAGCCAAGCCAGGAGTAGCTCGCCCTAGCAATGTGTTGGTGTTGTGTAACACCGGCAACCATTGGGTGCGCCTTGACTTTGAGGAGGATTCAATACCAATGCCTCCATTCACCTTCCTGTGGACCCATTTCCGTGACAAAATGAGTACTCAAGGGTGGGAGCAGTTGTTCAAGGACGAGCGAGATCTTTACTTCGCACTTGGGGGTCATCATGACTAGTAGGAGATATTTGTAGTAGTATTGGTATATAACGACAATAGTTGTAAATAAGGAGTATTTTGTAACTCATGTTATCTTTATATTTGTAGTCTTTGGTAAACATAGTTTTAAATTAAAACTACCATAGTTCTAAACATACAAATAAAGTATCAAATGAACGACACTAGTACTCAAACAACAAATAAGCAACATAGTTCTCAAACTACAAATAAACGACATAGTCCTCCAACAACAAATAAACGATTTAGTTCTCAAACTAGAAATAAACGACATAGTTCTCAAATACCAAATTAACGACATAGTTCTCCAAATAGAAATAAACTACATAGTACTCAAACTACATGAACAACACTAGTACTGAGGGGGAGGCTGGTATGGAGTCGCCTCGTCGTACTCTTTAAGCAACCCTTGTAATCCAAGAAGAAGATCAAGGTGGTCATCATAAGGGTGCTCAATCACAGTGCGAAACTCTCGGACGAGCTTCACAGCTAACTGTATAAAAATGTAAATGTTAGTATGTTATTCGATAACTAATGCAATATTTAAACTTGTACAGAATAACAATATCAATAACATAATTAAACTTACCTGATCATGACTAAGATGGTGGTGTATCTCCTGGTCAGCAGCACTGGGGCAGACGATCCTCGGGTGGGTACGTCCCATATACCACTGTAGATACCCATCCTCAGTATCTTCCGGTTTTTGAACAGGTCTCGATATCGAATCCAACTGCACCGAGTGGCAGTGAGGGGCCTTCCAAAGCTCACTCAAGCCGGGACCGTAGGACAAGGAGTACATCTTGACATTCGCAGATCGGCAAACATCAACTGGAGGAAGCGGATCTGAGGGGATGGTCTGTACGTACCCAAACTGACGAAGGCAACGCGAGGGATCGTACATATCCTCAACACTCATGCACCGAATGACACCAGAGTACAAAGAACGAGAGACCATCTCACCAGGTCTGAGGCCGAATGGGCACCAAAAAACGAACTCATCTGTCATATTATCCAGTACTCGACGATAGTGATCCAACCTCTCATTCATCAACTGTGCCCCACCTCCAATTCTCACCCCCTCCCACTTCTTAGCAAAAGGTTCCCCGCACACCAATCCACGTGTCCCCAACTTCTGATCTGGTAAACACGGGAAGTACTCGTAGATCCAGCTCTGAAGGAGGGTCAAACAGCCACCCATGCCTTTGCAATCCGCTCGAGACGCCATGTCGAGTTGCCTAGGAATCAGGCTATGATCGATAGGCTCCCCCGGCCCACTCCTGTCGAGAATCCACGAATCAGCTTCTCTCGCCTTCTTCCTCTTACTAGTGAGGCCCTCCTCCGAATCGGGTCGTGATGACTCAAAACGACCATGAGCCCCACGTCTAACATGAACAAACTGAGAGGACGAAGAAGACACAAAAGGAGCCTCGGGCTCTAATCTAGGTCCACTAGAACCACCTGCACTCGGATGGTTGCTCTCGAAGAAAGCATCATTTACATCCGGGAAGTCATCATAATTGTCATCACTGCCATCATACTCATCCACTCCCTCAAAAGCTCTATCTAAGTCAAAAGGCACGGGAGGCGGGGGAGAAGGATTCTCCACAAGTCTAGCACGTCGACCCTCATTCTCGGCTTCCTCACGACGCGACCTCAATACTATACGGTTGGTCACCCTCGACGGCTCTACCTCCTTCAACTTCTTCTTTCCTCTTGTATCCACCATTTTCTACCTATTAAAATTTGAATTAAAATTATTGTCAGATTATTATCATCATGTAATAGTTATTAGCAATGTTCATATTAGCAATGTTCATATGATAATTGTTAGTTCTCATATAATAAATTTTTATATTCAAATGTTCAAGGTTCGTATATTTATCTATTATAATTTAACATTAGTATATAATTTCAATTACAATAAAATTATCATCACAATATAATATTTGAAATTATAATGAATTTCACAATAAATTCTAACTTAGTTTTCTAGCTTAAATTGTCTATTACAATTTAACATTCGTATATAATTTCAATTACAATAAAATTCCCATCACAATATAATGTTCAAAATTGTAATGTATTTCACGATGAATTCTAACTTAATTTTCTTGCTTAAATTGTCAATTGCAATTTAAGGTTCGTACAACAATTAATACTTACTATGAAATAAAATTCTATATTTAAATTATTAAACTTTCTTATATTTATCAATTAAAATTTACCTTTCCTATCTAATTTCAATTAAATGAAAACATTAACCGACATAATTTTCGTATATATTAAATATTAACATATTTAAAGCAGATAATTAACATACATAATTTAAACAGATAATTAGAGTAATTAACCTACATTAAATCATAATAATTAAAGCATATAATTAACCTACATAATTAAAGGAGATAATTAAAGTAATTTTTTAAATTAATTTAAAGTATATAATTAACCTACATTAATCATAATAATTATAATAGATAATTAACCTAAATTAAAAAAAAATGTATTTGACCGCCGCCGGCGAGGGCGACGGGTCAAACGGCCGGTCGCCACCTCCTTCGTGCAAAAATTAAAAATTACCTTCGCGAAGCGCTCTGATTTCGTCTCCGGCGAGAGGTCGTCGTCTCCGGCGAGAGGTGGTCGTCGTATTTGAGAGGAAACCGGCGACAGGAGAGAAGGGGCGAGTCACGTCTCCGGCGAGAGGTCGTCGTCGCCGGCGAGAGGTCGTCGTCGCCGGCGAGAATATTTGGGCGGAATCTGGGAGGAATCCGGCGAGTTGAATTGGGAGGGAAGGGAGTGTTTGGTTGGAGTTGTAACAAGTTCAATATTTTAAAAGGAAGGAAGGGTAAAATAGTAATTATATTCTCTTAGGGCTATAAATAAGAAAAAGTTAGGGCTATAAATAGCAATTCAGTTTAGATATTATAATTCATTAAAAGATGGGAAGTCTATAAGCTGAGTTGCCATAGACTACCTGTGATATTTCAGCAAGTAATCGTTGCCCTAATTATCTGTAATATCAATGCAAAGCCTCTAAATCCAACAGAGCTCTAGGTTATTAACTTATTATAGGGTTTGGCTAGTGCATCTAAAACCAATTATATGAGATACAATACCTCTTAGACGTTGAGCAATGACAAATGGTAGGAGTTGTCCTCTCATTTTCAATAGAAATGAAAATCTGCTGTGGGGAAAAGTATCTGTAAATGTCATAGATTCAGAAACACGGAAGCATGAGAAGTAGAAAAGCAAAAGGTAAAGCTTAACTTCAGATATTTACACACTTGGGGAAGGACGGGCTTCAACATAACAGTCGAATTGGATCTGTAAATCGAAACGAAAAAAATCAAAATTTCCATATACAAAGAACACTAACAATAACCTACCAATTGAAATTGTAAATACTTGAGCAGCCCATTTACAATCTTCTTCCCGTCAACAACAGGGAAACATGTATTGGTGCTCAACTGCTCATTCACAGCCACCAAAAGGATCTTAATTCCGCCATCAATTCCGTCGCCCGTCGTACTTAGCTTCTTCTTTTTTCGTTTACTACTCCTTTTAAATTGGGTCTTTGGATCGTTCATGGACAGTAGAAAATGGGATTAACCGCATCATCTTATTATAGGTTAGCAAGTGCTGTGGAATGAGAAAAAGATTAGGTAACACAACTTTTTTTTCAAAGCAGTTATAATATAAGTTAAGATTTGTATACTTTGATAGTTTTATGAGATGAATTGTATAATTTATACTATTGGTTTATATATTTTTAAGGATTTCCTACGGTAACTTAAAGTAAGGTAACTTGAATTTTTTTACCTGCAATAGCAGGTTTCACAGGTCGCATTACGTAAAATACAATAGACATTACGTAATGGTTACGTAACATATGGTAATCTTACGTAACATATGGTAATCTTACGTAACAGTTGTAAAAGATCATTACGGAAGCCTTACGTAATAGAATGTGTTTTTACGTAATGAGTATTAACCTCGCGTTACGTAAAATGTTAAGTCATTACGGAAGTCTTACGTAATCCTACTGATTTAACTGTTACGTAAGTAATAACTTTCGTTACGTAACCTTTACGTAATAGAAGGTCTTTTTACGTAATGAGTATTAACCTCGTGTTACGTAAAGTGTTAAGTCATTACGGAAGCCTTACGTAACACTTCCTATTTAATTGTTACGTAAGAAATAACTATCCTTTCGTAACCTTTACGTAATGAATGTGTATTTTACGTAACAGTTGTAAAATGTCATTACGGAAGCCTTACGTAATGGAAGGTCTCTTTACGTCATGATTGTTAATGTCGTGTTACGTAAAGAGCTAAGTCATTACGAAAGCTTTACGTAACGCTTCTGATTTCACTGTTACGTAAGAAATAACTATCATTCCGTACCCTTTACGTAATAGAAGGTCTCTTTATGTAATGAGTATTAACCTCACGTTACGTAAAGTGCTAAGTTATTACGAAAGTTTTACGTAACGCTTCTAATTAAATAATAATTAAAATAAGGAAAGGGTAAAAAAAGGAAAGCAAATAAATTTGAAAAAGGAAAGGAAAAAACAAAAAATGGTAACTTACATGGGTGGTGACCGGCCACCCCTTGTTGCCAATGATTTTTTAGTTATTTTTTTATTTTTTATTTCTTTAATCAATGGTTCAAAATAATTTTGATAGATTTTAACGGTTTAGATCTATGTAAGTTACCTAACTTGAAATTATACCCAAGTTACTGTAGGAGGTCCCTATATTTTTATCATTTGATTTGTATAATTTATACTTTAGTATGATCTGTATACGAAGTGATTACGATTTGGATATTTTATCACATTAATTTATATAATTTTATCATATAATTTATATATATTTATTGTTCAGTTTGTATATTTTTTTTATCATATCATTTGTGTATACTTTGCCTATATTTTTTTATCATATCATTTTATTATAATTCCAGAAAATATAATGTTGTTTCATTTATATCATTTTATAAATAAAATAAATTATAAAAATAAATTATTTGATATAAAATAAATTTAATAAGAACCATATTGACTCTTTTTATTGTTTAGAATTTTTATTGATATTTTATATTGTTAGTTCTTTATAGTAATATTATATAACCTTTTATATTAAAAAGAACTTCTAATTGTTTTTCATTTTTATTATGTAGCAAATATGGTAAAGTGAAACTGCCGGCCTGTAGTAGAGATCCCCAAAAGTAAGAATGGAAGGAATTGGTCAGTGTATGGAGAGTGGTTTACACGATTTATTTAATTTAGGATTTTGCTACGGTGACATATATGGACTTTTCGGTCGACCTAATCCAACATGCGGTCGACCGAATGGACTAATTCATGTATGTGGGGTTTCGAGACGCGGTCGACCTCTTACATAATACGATCGATCGCTTTGGTGGTCTATCGGAATGAAAGGTCGACCCAAATATCTCATAGGCCGACCCTTGTGCACCTAACAGGTCGACCCCATTATGAAGAGGTCGACCGCCTTCACACCGTATCCGTATTGGATATGGACTCCAACACCAGAAAGGTTCCACAATTGGACAAGGAAACGAATTGGGTCGACCCATTCACGTCCTAAATCTCTATAAATACGAATATAAGTCCCCTTCAACGCCTCCAAGTCTGAATTAGTTTTTTTTCCGATTAAGAGTCTTTGTGAAGAAGATCGTTCGCGGTTGCTGTTGTACGTGTTCGAAGTGGTCGACCAAGTCTAAGGTGAGGTCGACCTAATGTAGCCTTCCCCGTCTTCTTTTCTAATGCGTGATTTTCACCGGCTAATTTGATATATTGTTGGGTGCAGAATTCCATTCGGTCGACCGTGACGTCAACCAGGTCGAACTGACGAGACAATTCTTCGTATTTGAATTTAGGCCACAACACTTGGACTTCTGTACTTGCGAGGAAACCCAATTGGTCGACCTAATGGGTTTCAAGGTCGACCGTTTCTGTTTTTTTTGTTATTCAACCTGAATGTCGACTTTGACTTTGTTTGTATGACTATGTTGTGCTTGAAAAGGTAGACCGCGCCAGATATCTAGTCGACCTATCCTTTTTTCGGTTTAATTTTGAACTTACTTTTTGTTGTTAATTGTTATTTTCCTGCTGGATAGGTCGACCTAATACTTTGTCAGGTCGACCACGTCTTTATTTTTTGGTCAATTGTAGAAATTTGTAGTTGAATTATGATTTGAATTTTTCTTTAAATTGTTTAGACGATGACGCATGATGAGAAACTGCATCAAGATTTGGGTGAAATCATGAAATTGTTGAAAGCCACACAAGAGAAGCTGGTGGTGTGTCAAACACAAGTCAATGACTTTCAGAAGTCCATGCGTGATAGAGTGGAGCAATTGTCAGTTCGACTGACAGATATGACTGGGATGATGCATGACTGGTTTGAGAGGGTAGAAGGTGCTATGAAAGATATAAGTGCAGAACGAATGGAGAATGACGGAAGAAATGGTAAAGGAAAGAAATTTGACTTTGGTAAAGAGGAAGAAGACCATGATGACTCTGAAAATTGCTACTAGAGCATAGACGATTTACTGAAAGAGCACATTTTAAAGGTATCCAAGTAGATTCATATGTGATTGAAGATATTAGTATTACTATCATTAGTGCTAATTTGTTTTGTTTATATATTTGACAGAGTGAAACAACGAATGGCAGCAAGGGTTCCTCTCCTAAGTAC